TGCAGCTGCTGAAGTGCTGAAAACAAGTATCAACACATTCATTTTAAAAAGCTTTTGAGACGGCTGAGAGCACACCTGTGATCCCAGCACGCAGGAGGCAAATTCAGATGGATCTCTGTGAGTGTGAGGCCAGTTTGGTACATAATGAGTTCCACATCAGCTGGGGCTACACAGTGAGTCCTTGTCTTTTAAAGAAAAGTTTTTGAGGAGGGCCAGTGAGATGGCTCAGTAGGCACCTACCCATCAAGCCTGATGACTCGAACTTACTACCTGAGACCCAGATGGTAGCAGAAAAGAACCAAGTCCCTCAAGTAGTCCTCTGACCTTCACATGCACAGGCCATGGCACAGAAGACCTTACTCTCACCCAAAATGAATGACATTAAAAGCTTTACAGGATTGGAAATGCAGTTCAGTGGTAGAACACTTGTTTGGCATATATGAGTCCCTAAGTTTTAATCACTACTACTGTAAATAAAGCTGGTGGGATGGCTCAGTGGGTACAGGTATATGACACCAGGTCTGACAACCTGAATTTGATCCCTAGAACCGACATGGTGGAAAAGGAGAACAGACGTCTGGGAGTTATTCTTTGACTTCCACATACACACTGTGATATGCAAGTGCCAAAGTGCATGCACACACAGAAAATAAATCAATGTAATAAAGTAAAAGCCTCTGAGGTATGACTTCCAAATCTACCATTTTCCATCTTAGGGTACACAGAGATAGATTGTAACGTGGGGGCTCAGAAACTACGGTATCCCAGCTGATGACTGATTCTGGAACTTCTGGACTCAACCAGTTAATACTTCAACCTTAACTAGAAGGGCCTCACAACTTTAGAGCCTGTCTTGATAGCAGTCAAGCCCAAGGCTGAAGATACAAAGGTGCTTCAGGGTCTAAAACTCCTGCCAAGGCCTTTGATCCCACTACCTAACAGGAGCCATCACAGAATAAAGAGTTGTAAAGCTAAAACAGGTCAACACATGCAGAGCCCAGATTACAGGTTTGGCGAATGTCAGCCATATTACTGCGGACTTACCACCTCCCTGCTCCCCTCTAAACCGGAGGCCCGAAGGCACTCTGGTGACTGACTGGCCATAGCAATGGTAGTTTGAGAGTAGTTAATTCCCCCTACTTGCCATATTTCATTCTTGTCACAAGGATGGCAGAATCCTAACAATTCAATACATTATATTCATTTTTTCTTCCCTAAACACTGTGCTCTGACTCAGTGTGCCAGACACTTCACTAGATGCTGGAGACACACATGGTTCAGACAAGTTCTTACGAAGGACTAAGAGACCCTTACTAAGAAGTAAACAGCAAAGTAAACAATTACACTCACTGTGATCACTACCACAGGACACTAGAGGGCATCCAGTTCTGACCTGCAAGGTGGGGGTGATGATCAAACAAGAAGTACCAAGTAGTGGACCAGCAAAGGAGGTTGGGCAGGAGCAGCAGGAGCGGCCTTTAAGCAGAGAGAAGAGCACAAAGCAAAGTGGTGTAAGGAGATGCAGCTTGCAGAAGTGGCAGCAGCTGAGTATGACTGGGAGGAAGTGGAACAGTAGAGTAGGAAAAAGGAAGACAGTAAGCCAGAAAGAAGTCAGAGTCCAAAACAGCTTGGATGCCATGCTGAGGAATGTTGACTACAGCCTGAAGGGAAGGTGGAGCCACTGGTAGATTTTCAAAGAGGATTTTTTAAAGGCTCCCTAACTGCTTGGTTAATATTTTCTCTCTAAAGTATTTCTTCAGCTGTATGTGAGAAGATAAAGACTAGGAAAAAATCTTTCTTTGCTTGTGACAATCTCAATGATCTTAGGAAAAAAGATGTTGAGGGGCTGGAGAGTTGGTTCAGCAGTTAAGAGCCCACAGTGCTCCTCAAGAGGACCAGGGTTAGACTCTTAGGACCCATGTCAGGTGCTCACAATAGCCTGAAACTCCAGCTCCAGGAATACTCTTCTGACCTCTGTGGGCACCTGCACTCAGGTGCACATACCCATACAAAAACATACACAGATACACATAATTTAAAAATATTTTAAAAGTTAATTTTAAAAAAGAAGACCTGGGGCTGGAGAGATGGCTCAGCAATTAAGAGCATTGACTGCTCTTGCAGAGGACCCAGGTTTAATTCCTAGCACCCACATGGTGGCTACAAACCATCCTTAACTCCAGTTCCAGGGGAATCTGAAGCTTTCTTCTGACCCCTGAGGCACTGCATGACACAGGTGTACTCACATACATGCAGGCAATACACTCACACACATAAAATAAAAATAATATTTTTTAAAAAGAAAAAAAAGACGATGACAACGACCTGGTGATTGCCAGGTGTGGTGTAATCACAGTACTTGGGAAGTAGAGGCAGGTGGATTGCTACAATTGAGGCCAGCCTGGTCTACATAGGGTCTCCCTGTTGTCCAGGCTGGCCTAGAACTATCTCAAGAAACAAAAAAATCTATTCAGAAACCGATACGTCTTCAAGGAACAAATACTCCTTAATCTTCAGAACCATACCAAAGTATAAAACCTACCCCCAAACCATGCCTGCTTCCCATGAGCACTTCAGGCTTTGCTGTCAGACTTGAAGGTTTTCTGGGAAGTGAGTAGTTAAGACGAGTCTCGAAGATGACAAGAAAAAGATGAAATCCAAGCCCAGACTTGGTCAGACCCATGGATTGAACATGTTCTCACTTTTAGGAAGTGAAACGAGAAGGGTAGGACCAGTCCTTAGTATACTAAGATCTATTTGCAGAAGGAAGCAACACCCAAGTCAGAGTTGCCGGCCTTTCTCAGACCCGGCATTATGGCTTACAGTCAATAGTAACAGGCTCTTCACAATGTACCTGACACCTAGACATCGGGGAGGGGTGGGAGGGTGGTCAGTAGTGCTTATTATTATTTTGAGACAGGGTCTCTTCTACTATGCAACCCTGGCTGGCCTAGAACTTACTATGTAGACTAGGCTAGCCTCAAACTTGTGGTAATCCTTTCTTTGCTTCCTGAGTGTTGGGATCATAGGAATGCATCACCATGCTCAGTGCCCCAATTTTCTCCCCCAGCACTGGGGATGGAAACCATGTTTGGGAAGTACTCTACCACAGAGATGTAGATCTATGTATTTTAGAATTCAGGTAGAGACCCAGCTGAAGCAAATTATCCAGGTCACACTACCAGGAAGCTACTGACCTGGGGTTGGAACCAGGAGCTGATTAACAGGGAGTCAAGGAGCATTCTTTCCACTGGACCTGAGCCCTTCAAAGCACTCAGGGAGAAGCTTCCAGTCAACACACACTAAGAGATGATCTCTACACAAACTTGGAAGGATTGGATTCTCTGGGACAGTTCCTAAGGCAGAAGGGCCTGATTGGCTCAATACAGGGCAGTCAGCCAGATCCTCTGAGCTCCGTTTATGTCCCTATCACTGTGACATGTCACTTCATCTTGAATTCTCCCCTGGAAGGATAGGGATAAGGTAACACAATTAAGTTTCTGTGAACTCAGTGGAACTAGGGGAACAGATCACAGAGTTTAAAAAAGATCGAGGTGTAGTGGCTCTGTAGTCTGTAGTCCCAGAACTTGAAAGGCTCAGGCAGTAGGAGTGCCATGAAATCAAGGCCAGTCTGGACTATCTGGTGAGTCCCTGAGGAGCCTGGGCTACAGTGTCACCAACAAGCAACAACAAAGAAAATAGCTATCCTAACATTTTTATCACAGCTTTCTTCAGAAGCATAGGGAAACCTTGATAGGTTCATTAAGGTTTATGGCACTCAAGAGTGGGTGGGTAGGCAGCAAAGTTTGGGTTGCTACTGTCGTTTTGGGGTGTACGCATGCTGTCATGAAAACTGAGGCACAATGGATCAAGTAAATGTCCACAAAGGAACAGAATCTCATTCTCCAGCCACCAAATCACCCGTCACCTCCCAGGCAAACTCTACTAACCCCAGGCTCAATGACACTGGCCTGCACAGATTTCAGAAAGGCAAAGCAACTTCCTCTGGGTATATTCTTCCAGAATCTAGGACCAAAAGATCCCCAAGGGGACTTGTGATTCCCGTCTCCTTACTCCAAAAGGAATGAAGCTCAACCATGCTGAAAAGTTTCTCGGTATTGTTTCATGAATAGCCCCATTCTGCAGACCATGCTCCGGGAATTCCTAAAACTCTTGCCCTGAAAGGTAAAACACAGCAACAGCTTGCGACAGAACAGTCTTCCTAATGAAAGTGAATCACAGGAGGAAGTAAGGCTACATCCTAACATCAATCCAAATAAATATATGGCAGCTAAGAATACTAGAGAACTCCTACACTCTGATCCGGCTCCAGGTTCTTTTGTTCCCACACTCTGCTGGTCCATGCAAACCAACATAGGAAGCCTGGTTTTGCCTCTACTACTCGAATGACCTGACCCTGTGCCTCAGTATTCTCGTGGGTAAAATAGGTAAAGTGTAGCTCCCTGACAAGGTCTGCTGGGAGGTTTAGATGCTGCTTTGTACTTAAGGTGCTTAGCACAGTGCTTCCTGCTCAGGAAGGCTGAATAATCAGTGACTGGCATTCTTCTTGTTTTGTCAGCACTATGTACAGGTGTCCCCATTCCATCAACGTGTTCCTGAGCAAAGGACAGGAGCGGGCGGCATGGGGCCATTTCTTGATTTTTGCCCCATTTTTGAAGCGGTGACCGTGAGATTAGGCCCTGAGCCGAGAGGCCTCAGGAAGACCGTGGGGTGGGAAGGGGGAAGCAGAGCCGGAAGGTGGGCCTAAGTTCAGGAGGCGCTCCAAGGGGTACTGCGAACCTGAGGAGGCCAGAACGAGGCCCCGCCGCCGAGCGGAGCGCGAATGAATGAGGTCGTAGCTCTTCCACCTTCCCGGCCTGCACGCCGCTCGCGCCCCCGTCACCAGCGTAGCGTCCTCGCCGTGACCTCTGACCCCGCAGACCCCTCGCCTCGGACCCTTCACTTCTTGTCCTACCTCGCCAGGCTGCCCGGTTCCTCACCCGCTCGTCCAAACGGCTCCCGGCGCCACAGCTCGGTTAGCTTCGGCAGCAAAATATCCGCGGCCTCCACCTCCCGCTCCGCCGGTGCCTCGGTGCAACCGGCCCCTCAGAGCCCCGCGGCTGTCACCTGCCGGGCGGAAGTGAGCTGCCCGCGCGGGGCCACTTCCGGTGGACGCACACCCCGGGGGCGGGGTCAAGGGTGCAACCCGGGCGGGCTCCGGGTCTGTGTGGGCGGGGCCTGGGACGGGCGGGGTCTTCCGCTGCATTTTTGCTTCGAGAGAGCTGGGCTCCTGGAACCGCTGGCCAATTGCCTGCTGAGTAGAGGTGATGGAGTTACAGGCAGGGAAACTGAGGCCATGACGGGCAGGGTTTTACCCAAAATCGTTGGCTTTGTGAATAGGAGAGGCAAAACAGGAGTGGTACATCTGGTCAACCGTAAGATTGCGCTGGTCTGCTAGTCTAAAGCCAGACTTTTTCTGCAGTCCTTCGAGAATTCATTGTTCTGGGAAAACAGGAAGTCCTCCCAGGAACTTTTATCCAAGAGGAATTTCTTAGTGTGCTAACGTGCATAATGTGTCCCTTTGGCCAAGACCTCAATTGCTACACCCATCTCATTCCTGACTTTGGTACTATTAAATTTCTCTTCCTTCTAGATAATTTGCATTCATCCCCTTTAAAACATTATATAACCTCTACTCTGTAACAGTTTTACTGAACCAATAATCATGGTAGAGAAATGGAAAAATACTAATAAGAAAAAGGATGGGGGCTGTAGAGATGGCTCAGCAGTTAACACTGGCTGATCTTGCAGAAAACCCGGGTTCGAATCCCAGCACCCACATGGCAGCTAACAACTGTCTGTAACTCCAGTTCCAGGGGATCTGACAGCCTCTGTCCTCCACGGGCATTGCACGACATGGGCACACTTACCTACAATGCAGGCAATACATGCATAAACATAAAATAAAAATAATAAAATATTTTTATAAAAAAGAAAAAGGAAGACAAAACCCTCTTCTGACCTCTGAGGCATTGCACGACACGGGTGCACCTACCTACATGCAGGCAATACATGCATAAACATAAAATAAAAATAATAAAATATTTTTATAAAAAAGAAAAAGGAAGACAAAAAATAATCATGTGGGATCCACTGCCCTGAAATAATCTTTTTAATATTTTGGTTATCCTCCTAGGTGTCATCTGGTATTTTAAAAATTTTATTATGGGTGTTTTTTGTTTGTTTGAAACTCCCCAGTACTGGGATTACAGGAGTGCGCCACCATGCCTGGTTTATGTAGTACTGGGGATTGAACCCCAGCTTTGTGCATGCTACGCAAGCACTAATAACTGACTTACATCGCCAGCTCCATTTTTTACTCTGTTGTTTTGTTTTAAATTATTTACTGTATGTCTGTGAGTGTTTCACCTGCATGTTGTAAACACACCCACATTGTGCAATGCTGTCAGATCTCCTGAAACTGGAGTTACAGAAGGTTGTTAGCTGTCTTGTGGGTGCTGGGAACTGAACCTGCATCCTCTGCAAGAGCAGCTAGTGCTCTTAATTACTGAGCCACCCTTCCAACCTCCTATTGTTTGGGGGATTTTCTGGGTTTTTTGTTTTGTTTTGTTTTTGAGACAGGATCTTCTTGTCTGGCCTAGAACTCACACGTAAAACTCATACGTAGACCAAGATGGCCTCAGTCTCACAGAGATTTGCCTTCCTCTGCCTCAAAAGTGCTGGAATTAAAGGCATGCACCACCATACCCCACCTAATTTTTTACATTTTTTAAGCTTTGACATAACCTGTGGAGCTTCAGCAAATTGTGAAAATAGTACAAAATAGAGTCCCATTTACCCTTCATCCAGCTTCCCTCGACAGTGACATTTTCTATTTCCGTAGTGTAACTTTAAAGCCAGGAAATTGGCATTGGTAAAATATCTTTAATTATTTTTATTTTATGTGTATGAGTGTTTTGCCTCCATGCATCTATGTCATGCAGTGTGAGTGGAGGCCAGAGGAGAGTGTCAAATCCCTTAGAATTGGAGTTGTGGATGATTGTGAGCTGCCCTGTGGGTGTTGAGAATCAAACCCCAGTCCTCTGCAAGAGTAGCCAGTACTCTAAACCGCTGAGCCATCTAGCCCCCTATAAAATACCTTTATCTCTGTCACAGACTTTATTCTGATTTTAAATCCTTTTTTAAATAGAAAGAAAGAAAGGAAATAAAAAACGTTTTGCTGCAGCACCAGAAACTTATTTTCTCATAGTTCTAGAGGCTGGAAGTCTAAGATCCAGACCAGGTTGATTTCTCAGGAACCTCTTCTTGGCTAGCAGATGGCTGGCTTCTGCTGTGCCCTCATATGGTGTTTCCTCTGTATACCTAGAAGAATTTTATGTGTATGCACTGTGCTACCTGATCTATGCCCAGCTGTCTAGAAGAAACTTTTCTAATGATAAATCTTGGCAATTGCCAATATGCCCCACTGGAAAACTTTTTTTTTTTTTTTTTTGGTCTTTTTGAGACAGGGTCTCCCTGTAGCACCAGCTGGCCTGGAACTCACTATGTAGATCAGGCTGGCCTTGAATTCACAGAGATTCGCCTGCCTCTGCCTCTGAGTGCTGGAACTAAAGGCATGCCCCACCACGCCCAGCTTTGGAAAACAAACTTTTATCATGAATGTGACATAGAAAGAGAATTATCAAACAAAACCCAAAAGCACCATGCTAGAGAGAGTTCATATTCAAGTGGTTTCTCCCACTGCTTCTGCAGAGCTTTAAGATTCCTATGGAATGTGGGTGTGGTGGTGCACACTTGTAATCTCAGCATTTGAGAGTCTGAGAGAGGAGGATCTTCAGTTACAGGCAAGCCTGTAGGGAGACCTTGTCTCAAAACAAAAATTTTCAAGGAGACAGACGTCACTGGACCTGGCTACTGAGGAAAGACCTCCTCCAGTGGCCGGTGGCTTTTTTGCTAAAACTTGCCAAATGAACCCAGAGTTGCCATAGACTGAGATGGCAGGAAAGGGAACCCCAGGGAGACCAATACATAGGTCAGAAGGCTCAAATGGAAACCATGTGAAAGAGCTGGCATCTGAGTCCTCCAGAAAACTTTAGAAATCCCAAGCCCATACTTGTGTATCAGGGCCTGGTGACTGCTAGATATGCAGATGAATGAGGCAAAGGCCCTGCAGTGCTAGAGATTCAACCCAGATCACTGAGCATGTTAGGCAAGCACTCTACCTATTAATCTATATCTCCACCCCCCAATATAACAGCTATTTATATAACATCTACATTGTTTTACATATTATGAGGCATTGAGAGATGCTTTACATTATTACAGGAGGAAATATGTAGGTTCTACACAAATATCACATTTTAGAATCAGGGCCTTGAACCTCTGTGGGTTTTGGTCCTGGAACCTTTAATTTGGGCAAATTAAATAGTGTTCTTTCCTTCTGTGTCCACCAGAGGGCCCACGAGTACCATTAGCTGTCATCCTTTTCATCAAATGCAATTTTTGCACAGGCCCTGTAATATGCCCTTCTAGTTGCAAGTTTCTAGATTCTTCTTCCTGTGTGATTATGAATCTTATATTCCAGCCTCTGTTTACTACTTTTTTTTGGTCTTTTTGAGACAGGGTCTCCCTGTGGCCCCAGCTGTCCTGGAACTCACTATGTAGACCAGGCTGGCCTTGAACTCACAGAGATCCTCCTGCCTCTGCCTCCTGAGTGCTGGGATTAAAGGCATGCACCACCACGCCCCGCTACTTTTTGTTTTTTTCAATCTTTCAAATGTTTAAAAGTTGCCTCAGCTCCTTTCTGGTTTTGGCTTGTTTTTGGTTTTTTTTTTGTTTGTTTGTTTTGTTTTTTTGAGACAGGGTCTCCCTGTAGCCCCAGCTAGCCTAGAACTTGCTATGTAGACTGTGCTGGACTTGATCTCACAGAGAGCCTCTGCCTCCAGAGTGCTGGGATTAAAGGTGTGTACTACCATGCCCAGTCTTTCAGGTCCTTTCTGAAACAAGACAGAAGATGACTTCGTCCACAGCCTCACTGACAACATGAACCCTCTACCTGCTGAGGGTGGGGCACAGCTGGCAGAGCAGAGGGGCCTGGAGGCTTCCAACCTTTCTGGCTCTACTGCCACAGACTGCTTCTTAGAGTGCTCTGCTTGCTCCATTGTCCCTGAAGGGAACCAGCTTCCTCTGGTGCAATTGAAAAGACCCAGGCTAGGAGCTCGAGAGATGACTCAGCAGTTAAGAGTGACTGGCCGCTTTTGCAAAACCCAGATATGACTACAGTTTTGAGTGGTGTACACCTATAATTCCATCATTCAGGTGACAGACTAGGACAGCTTGGGCTACATGTTCAATTCAAGTCCAGCCTGGTTTACTGAGCAAGACCCTGTCTCCAAAAATGCAAAGAACCTTCCTGGTTTGAGCAAGGCCTTGGATTCAGTTTCCAGCATGTATCTCACACTCACACACACTCACTTTATCTGTTGTGCTGGATAGCTTTAGTGTCAACTTGACACACCTGGGTTAAGGGAGCTTCAACTGGGGAATTGCCTTCATTGGACTGGCCTGTGGCCATGTCCATGGGGCACCTTCTTAATTGTTGAGTGATGTGGGAGGGCCCAGCCCACTGTGGGTGGTGCCACCCCTGGACAGGTGGGCCTGTGTTGCATAAGAAGGCAGGCTGAGTGGGGGCCAGGGGAGCAAGCCAGTAAGCAACATTCCTCCGTGGCCTGTGCTCCAGCTCCTGCCTCCAGGGTCCTGCCCTGAGTTCCTACCTTGGGCTCCCAGATGAACTGTGACCTGGGATATGTAAGCTAAATAAACCCTTTCCTCCCCAAGTTGGTATTGGTCAGAGTGTTTTGTCATAGCAATGGAGAAATAAGACATCTGTTGAGCCATCTTGACAGCCCCTAGCCCTTCTTTTATGCTGAACAATATTCCACTATATATATATGTTATTTATAGTTATATATATGTTATTTATTTCTCTGAACTTGACCATTCTCTTAGATTGACTTCTTCCAATGAATCTTTAATATGTTTTATTTTTGAGACAGAGTCTTGCTATGTAGCCCAGAGTAGCCTTGAACTGGAGTCTCCTGAGTGCTGGGATTACAGGTATGCACTGTCATGTCCAGCAATATTTTTTTAAAAAGTAATTCCTTACTTTCTGATAACTCAAGATGTTCCAGGCCC